AATAAGCACACATTTCAAGATTATTATAAAATGGGTTTTTTATCAGAATTTAATTTTGTAAAAAATTAATGACTTGAAAAGTATAGTCACAGCACTATAGCCCATCCAATACTAATGATAATTTTCTAACATAAAATATCTAAGTCTTAACTCAGAATCTAAAATAGTCTATGCATGGCAATTGTTTGATGTGTCTTTTTGGTTTCTTCACCAATTGGTGTTTTGGGTTTGTTTCTTTTTTTTTTCCCCCTGAAATGTACTTTCTTTTCTAAAGAAACCAAATGCCAAAATTGTATGTGGCTTCCTACATTTGATATTTGACCAATTGCATTGGCTTGACAGATTTGTTTCTCCTGTGCATTTGGACTTCAGAGGTTCAAGGTACAGACATGGCTGTGTTCAATTTGATTATTTTAACAAAAATTCACCTGTCCTTCTATGAGGAGGCATGTAATTCCTGGCATTACCTTCTTTTAATGATGTCAGTAAAAATAGTAATCATTGCCCAAATACAAGATTCTGTTGGAGATTGCAGAATAGTGATTTTCTACTATCTCTTCATTATCTATTAGCTTGTTTCCATTACACTCATCAGACATTTTATTAGTCTGGGACATAATTGCTACAGTGAATATTTCTTTCTAGAGATTTTTAGATATCATTTTTATACTTCTTTTCTCATATTAAATTTATATGGTTATTAAGAAAGAAAATCTAGAAAAACTAGTGAAAAATTAATGTCACACATTTTAAAGTCTTTGAATTCTAATAAGCACTAGAAGAATATTCTGCTGTTTAGATGATGTTAGTTGATAGTTAGAGAAAGATGTTATTTTCAATTCCTCATGATTAGTGAAAAAAATTGTGTTTAATGCCGTGTGGCATGCTGGGAGAAAAAATCAAAAAGGGGAAAAACACAGATGGTTGTCTAACCCTGTAAAGCAATTATTTTAATTTCAATGTCTTGGAAGATTGTAATAATGTGTTATCTGAAAAATTAGAAGTAGTAATATTTCCCCTTTTCAAATCAACATGATTTTCTTTTGTATAAAAAGGAATTAAAATCACCTGTCATCAATTACGTAATATTACCATGTTATAGGATATCTAATAATTACATTTTGACTTAGAGGATCTAAAATGTGTGTGTGGGTAGCGTGGTGTTTGGGTTGTAAATTTCCCGCTAAAGAGCTCTGTGGTCTGGATATGTCACTTATGAGCCCTGAAGCACAGTTTTGTAATATGTTGGATTGCTCTTCATTTTCATTGTATTTCTTTTGGGAATTGGTGGCAATGCCATTCTCTTTCATTTTTATAATATGTACTGTGTACTATAATGACAACTTTCTTCCTATATAAAAACTTTGTGCACTGTATCTGCTGATGGCAAAGTTTGATTTCATCTTTTCACTGCAGATATATTTGGGACATGGGAAACATCAAATACATTTGAATATGAGGTCACAGATATCAGGGATCTCTGCCTCCTTAAACTGTTTAACTTCTAAGTTTATTGCTTCCCTTTAAAGAAAAAATGGTCCCTTATCTATAAATTTTTGCATAGAAGGAAGAATGGAAAACATAGTTGGAAAAATCAGAAACAAAAGTATATAGTCTGAAAGATATGCAGAACTTTGAGCGCTCTGAATAAATACTGCCAAAGATTTTGCTAGCAGTTAACTAAATGTTTTATAGATAAATAACTTATCAGGAAACACTTCTAGAGGCACCAATAAAACCTACATTATCTACATCTTTCATATGCTGATTAAAATGTATGCACATTTTGTTAGGACAATAAATGTTAAAATTAAAAACAAGAGTTAAAAGAATAGCAAAAATGTGAGCAGGTTAAATCAGTTTTGAGTTGAGATCTATCTAATCCCTGAGAATGCCCTCCTACCCTGTTTATTTTCCCTGTTCTCCATTTGAGAAATGATCTTCAGATTCGCCAATTACTTGAAAAATTGCTTGACAGTCTTCCAAAACACTGTTCCAGTCTCTTCCAAAAAGCAGGACAAGTACCTAATTCAATGAAACTAATCAAGCACATCAGTAACGTAAGGAATTAATTGCATTTTTGCTTTTTGAAGGTTTGCAATGCAAGTTTTAGAGATACACCTTATTGCTATAAAAGATAGTTATTCAGTAACTATTCAACATTTCTAGGTAAATAGCTATGGTAATTCCATTAGTCGGGTGGTTTTCCTTCAAAAGTTATGCATAGGTTTTCATATAATTAATTATTACCGTTATACAAATTTAAAATCATAACTAATAATCTCTGAAAAAAAGTGTGAACCACCGGAATATTGTATTTATAACTTGCTGCTTTTATTATAAAGGGAAAAAATGTTGATGACGTATCTAACACTTCTCCCTGGTCAAAGTACCTTTAATTCCCTCCTTCTCATGTTAACTATAAACAGTTAAAATCGCATTTTAGGAGAATTTTCCGTCATTTGTGGGTGGTATGCAATGTGCACTTTACAATTGACTTATAATTGGACTGTGCTGACAATGGAAACTCTTACAAGTACGAACATGACATTTATGACAGGATTGCTGTCATCTTGGCTTCTTTTATTGAATATGCAGAGAATTATAATTGGGCTAACAAGCCTGGTAGCCTGGCCTCTTTCCAATTATACTAACCAACCTAGTCTAGTAATAGCTGCCTGAACACACACAGATACACACATAGACCTTTTGTTTTTCTTTCTATTTTATTTTAGTATCTCCCCAATAACCTAAGAATAAAATCCTCTGTCTTTATGTAATGTTTCAGTACAGTCTATAATTTACCTCCATTACACTCACAAATGTAAAGATGGGCTTTCTCTATCTTTATTTCTCTAATTTTTAATAAAAATAATTTTTATGAAATATTGGTTGTATTTATACATGTGAGAAGTTAATGGAGTATAATTTTCCCCAGAATGTATAATGTTTTTTGGCAGTTTTGCTTTGAATTCATGCTAAAAATTGTCAAATGGTAAACTAAAGTTTGAAATAAATTTTTCATCACGTGAACAACTCAAATGTATTGACGCGTTGTAATATTTTCTTTGAAAATGAGGTAATAGTTCAGCATAATCTAAAAATCTGTTCTCAGCCATGTGCTGTCTTAAAATACAAAAGAAACCATAAGGATATGAAATAATCCTTTAGTAATCCCCTAAAATTTTACCAAGAAATCGAAAACTGAATTTTTTTTTTATTGAAAACAAATAGTAAGAAAAGTTAAATGAAATAATTTGTGGTTTAAAATATCTCAGGAGTTTGTAGTGTATCATTTATTTGGAACATTAGATTCTATACATTTCATTTCCTTCCCTTTTACTCTCGGTTTCCACTTCCTTCTTATTTTAGAACATTGAATACACGTGCACATTTTCTTTGCCAATATTTTCAGCCCTTTCCTCTGCAGCATTTAAGGTGTTCATCTTTGTCAGGGTTTTCTGGGCAGAAATCTGAAAACAATCTGGAAATATCCTGCTGAAATAAATACCAGTACAGTCAGTCCATAAGGGATCGGACATAAAGATGTATGTTGCTAGATTGTTATTAGGAAAAAAAAAAAAAAGAAAGAAAAACTACAAACATCCTGAAATAGGAAATAGTTCCATATTTCATATAAACTACAGAAAAATAAAGCAATTATTAAAATAAATGAGTTAGCACTCTACGCCTTAACCTGGGAAATACGGGGAAAGTAGACTGCAGAGTCATGAATAGTGTAGGATCTTGTTTAGGGGGAAAATGTGCAAAATTTTTTAAGGTTACTACTTTTTGTATGAACTGTGCATTTTTAAATTTGTTAACATTAGTATACTCTTAACATTGATTATCTCCGAAGTTGACACTGGGATGAGGACATTGTTCCCTTTTCTAGATGGGTCACTTCTAAGTTTTTGATACGTATCAATATTGCATATAGAAACAAAGCAGATGTGTTACAATAATTAAAAGGGTGCAGATTTCTTGGTAAAAAAAAAAATTAATGCTTCAATATTAAGTATTTTAGTGAGTTTAATGAAACCTATGATTTTGTTTTGGCTTTGTAGAACTGATGATTGTGATTTAGTTGGTGAATCAGCTCCTTGAATTCATGTACAGTCTTTTTCATGTGCATCCTATCTATCTTAAATATTGCAGATGAAAGGGCTGAAAATATCTGTAAAGAAAATGTGCAAGTATATCCAGTGTTCTAAAATGAGAGGTTAGTGGACACAGAGAGTGAAAGGAGGAAGAAATGAAGTGTAAATAGTCTAATGTTCCAGATAATGGATACACGACAAACTCCTTAGATATTTTAAACTATTTTAAATCCAAAAGCTTAAGACCGTATCTTACAGCACAAGTCTGGGAATCAGACATACTTAAAATCAAATCCCAAATTTCCTTATTTTCAACAGTGTCATCTTTAGCAAGTATTTTGGCCTAAGTTTCAGTTTCTACATCTATCAGGGAAGGACAACAAAACTTCCTTCTCCAGGGTGTCGTTGTCAGGTGGAAGGTCCCTGGAATCAGTCTCTGGCATCTAGTAATCACTCAACAAAGCAGAAGTGACTTGCCCTTGTCATTTATTAAAGCTTCCTGGAGTTCCACTTGACACGTTAAAAAATATTAAATGTATTCAAACTATATATGAGTACTTCTCTAATTGATTTTAACTAAAATTTAGAGTTAAGGAAAACATAGAGGAAGATATATATCTTTTCAAAGCAACTTGGGGACTTGTGGTGTTGGAATTTACTGTGTTGTTTCAATCCATCTTACTTTTCTTATGCAAAGGCTTTAGTCCTACACTAACAAAATATAGCAACTGTGATTTTGTTTGTTACAGGTCTGATTAACTGAAAGTATATTGATCATGTAACCATAAATGTACTCTCATTAGACTTTAATACTATTAACATCTGTTTTCTTACTAGAGACTCTTATCTAACATCTAACGTGTTTGTTTTCTTCTTCTGCAACCTTTCCTGGGTAACCAGCGGCCGCATCAAAGAACAAAGTCAAAGGTGAGCTCCTACTCATTCTGCATGGCTCATCACGAATCATTTCTCTGCCCAGTCTCCTAAGTTCCCTTAAAGAATAGAATCAATTCTGTTGGTGATAATACTATATCAGGGTATAGATCTTTACACAAGTTCCTACAAATAAAAATATGTTACTTTAATTTCTCAGTCTCTTAGATAAATATAAATATCTGCATTTGCATGGCTGGTTGTAGGCTTGTGCCCACGTTCTATATTCCACTTTTTGGCTCGTTAACATTGTGTTTGCCAATCATAGTTTCCTTGATAAAATTGAGTACTGGATAAAAATGCAGCATGAAGTAAACCCGATGAAAAGTCTCAAAACTGAGCATGCCTTCATAGATGTATGTGAAAAAATTTAATCCTCTAAAAATTGAATACTATAAACTGTAAATTTCTATTTATAATTGTACTCGTATACTTTTGATTTCATTAAGTTCGCATTTGCTTGAGACCTGAAAGTAAGTCCATGTCCAGTACTCAAAATATCACTCTAAAAATTTTGTTTTTGTCTTGATGTGTCCGGGATTTAATTGATTTGAAAAATGCAAATGTGTGTTTGATACTGTATCATAGATTTATCATTTGTAGGTTCCAATTTCATACTCTCTAGAGCTATCTATATACTATGTCTTTAGAGATCTTTTCTGCTTCTGCTCCTTAAATAGCAAAAATAATAATAATTCCACTTTACAGTCCAGATTTCTTTTTACATCTAGTTTTTTACTTTAACACTATGACATAACAAAGACATAGTCCCATCTTTGAAGTGTTAACTACTCCCTTCTGATAAGGTGAGGCTTTTATTGTGTAATATTTTCCTAATAATATATTCATTTATAAAATACAAAAGATGTGAAAGATAAGATGGTAAACTTGCTGTCACATCTTTTTATATCTTCCACCCTGGGGTTAGTTTCTTGTTCCAATAAACATGGTAGCCAATTTAGCCAACCTTTGCCACAGTAATTTTCTGTCTGGTGGCAAACAAAAGAAACACATTTATGGAGCAATTAAGAAATTACTTAATAATGAATACAGGTTTAATATATAAACAAAATGTTTTTATATAATCAAAGGTTAAGAAATTTAGTTTTAAGAGTGAGAAAAGGTAGGCAGTGCCTGTGGCTCAAAGGAGTAGGGTGCCAGCCCAATATGCTGGAGGTGGCAGGTTCAAACCCAGCCCCAGCCAAAAAAAAACAACTGCAAAAAAAAAAAAAAGAGTGAGAAAAGGAAAACAATGTATAATGATGCTCTGTCTGTGGGGTAGAGCATAGGTATATAAAGGCACCTACAGAGAGGCACATGTCGCTGTGGAATCCTTGAAGATGACTTCATATAGGTGAAGCCTGAGGTGGTTTTTGAGGGATAGATAGGATGTACATTAAAATAAAGTGCATAAAAATGAATCAGAAGGCGTGAGTGAAGATATAGAAGCAGAAAAGTGAACGTTCGTTTCAGGGTAATGAGGAAACTTTTGAATGAAGCCCTGTGCTTTTACAAGAAAGTGATGGAAAATAAATTTGAAGATGACATAATAGTCAAGGGAGAAATCAGGAACCATTACAGTATATCATTATGTAAAACCTCTAGTCATAATCACATCTAAGTTCATTTAATTATTTTCAAAAACAATTATAATTCAAATTATAATATGCAGGTGGCAAATGATTAAATATAGGAAAGACAATTTACTATTGGAGGACCACAGCTACAAATTATATTACAGGTATTTATCAAATATATCAGGACCTGAGCTGGCTAAATTTTGAAATGCAAGCATATCTCTGTACCCAACTGAATGCATCTCACGATTCCATGTATACTGTTCCACACATACCCATTTTATCTCTTCTCTCCACTTATATAAACGCCTTCAGGGACTTTACGTTATGTTTATATTTTTGCATCTACAAGGTGTTATGAAGGCTGGTAATGACACTTTCTAAAATTCACTGTGCCTCAAGTAGAAATTAAAATTTTATTTCTGTTGTTTGAGAATGTTGTATATTATGTAGCGATAACAGAAAAAAACTACTCAATGCTTTTATTGTTCAATTTCTATGTCAAGGCAAATGGTCTTCAAATAGAAAAAAAAATGTGGATAGGAGAAAAATAAAACCCAAGTTAATATGAAAGCAGATGGATGTTTAAAATAGTTTATTTCTCCTGGCCCAGAAAACGTAAATCTAGAAAACTGAGAGAAGTTTTAGAGAGGATTATCTTTCATTCACTTATCCTTATGGACTCATGCAAATGTGGGGAGCTTCTGGAATATGAGAGGGAAATACATGTTCTGAGATTTTTTTTTTTTTTAGGGAACACTGATTCTATTCCAGAAACCGTAGACTAGTGGATGTGACATCAACTTATATGAAAATTTGTAGTAATGCTCTTAAAATAGCAGTTCGTGGTTATTTAGACCAAAACTAAAGTCTCTAGGAGTCAGTCAGCGTGGATTAGTAAAAGCATAGAAAATTACCTCAATTCATCCCTCTCAATTTTTTAAACTGTGAGTTACTATGCCAGCATCTGAAGATAATAGTATAAACATAATCTATCTAAATTGTATCAAATAATTTGTCAATTTCCTCTTTTCTTATCTCTGTAGAAACTGTTAATCAGAAGATTATAATTATTCTTCAGTGGCCAAATCTAATAGTACTAATATTACTAATTTTTTTCCACTGATTATATATGAGTATATATTGATTCTTTTTTTGAGGGGGGGTTAGTATGAAGTTACATGCTATTAGGTTACATTATTTGCATTTGTAAGATAAAGCCTGGGGTGCATCTGAGTCCTTCACCCAGGAGGTATGTCGTGTACCCCTACAAAGTAGGCACTTATTGGACCACTTCCTCCTCCCCCTTTCTTGAATTTAATAGTGTTTTTCTTTCATGTTGGTCTATAGTTGTGTATCAACTAGTTTCAGCTTAGTACTAAGTACATGGGATGCTTGCTTTTCCATTCTTGAGAAACTTTACTTAGAAGAATGTTCCCCATGGCTCGGCACCTGTGGCTCAAGTGGCTAAGACGCCAGCCACATACACCTAAGGTGGCGGGTTTGAATCCAGCCCAGACCCACCAAAGAACAATAATGGCTGCAACCAAAAAAAATAGCTGGGTGTTGGTCCCAGCTACTTGGGAGGCAGAGGTAGGAGACTCGCTTGAGCCCAGGAGTTGGAGGTTGCTGTGAGCAGTGAAGCCATAGCACTCTACCCAGGGTGATAGCTTAAGGCTCTGTCTCAAAAAAAAAAAAAAAAAAGAAGAATGTCCCTCAAATCCATACAGGTAAATATAAAAGATGCAAAGTATCTTTTTTATGGTTGAATAGTATTTTATATGATACATATACCAGAGTTCATTAATCCATTCATGGGTCGATAGGCACTTAGGTTATTTCCATATCTTTGCCATTGTAAATTGCTATAAGAATTCAAGTACAAAAATGTATTTATGATAAAATGGTTTATTTTTCTTCTAGATAGATACTTAGCTATGGGATTGCAGGATCAAATGAGAGGTCTACTTTTAGTTCTTTAGGGGTTCTCCATACTTCTTTTCAAAAAGGCTGTATTAAGCCAGGCATAGTGGTTTATGCTGGTAATCCTAGCACTCTGGGAGGCTGAGGTGAGTGGATTGCCTGAGCTCACAAGTTTGAGACCAGCCAGAGCCAAGGGAGACCTCATTTTTGTGGCGGGCACCTATATTTCCAGCTATTGAGAGGCTGAGGCCAGAGAATTGCTTGAGCCCAAGAGTTTGAGATTCCTGTGAGCTTTGATGTTACAGCATACTACCAAGGGGGACAAAGTGAAACTCTGCCTCAAAAAAAAAAAAAAAAAAAAGGCTGTATTAGTTGGCAATCCCACCAGCAGTGTGTAAGTAGTCCCTCCCTATCTGCATCCATGCCGGCATCTGCAGCTTTGGGGATATTGAGATGTGGGCTATTCTCACTGGGGTTAGGAGATAACTCAAAGTGGTTTTGATTTGCATTTCCCTGATGCTCAGGGAAAGTGAGCATTTTTCATTACTTGTCCATTCTTCCATCTTCTTGGAAAAATGTTCTGTTCCTCTTTTCTCTTGCCCAATGATTGCTAGGGTTGTTTGTTCTTTTCTCATTGATTCTTTTGATTTTCCATTTATCTTGGGTCAGTGGCTCTGACATACATACTTAATTTTCTTTTTAAATCTTGTTTACCTCTTTCTTTCTCTCATAAAACATAGATCATGTATACATTAGTGCATTTATCTCCCTCTACATTTTAAATTGCCACTTGATTCAACAGCCTCTCAACACTTACTATGAGGAAACCACACTAAGAGGTTGTTTTCTACTTTAGCCATCAAAAAAATTGAGCCTGAAAAGTGAAATAAAAAGGAGGCAGAAAGAAAGCTGGTTGATGTGTTCTGTTGTCCTATAGGGCCATAAGTTTTGTATGTAGATTTGATAAAATGAATTGAGTCTGTGAAATGAGAGAACCAAAAGCACTGTACAAAGAATGCGAGATTGAGGGAGTCATCTCTTGGTAATCATGCCCCTTGCTCTAGTATATTTCTAAGAGACTCTATTTCAGTGGTTCTCAACCTTCCTAGTGCTGTAACCTTTTAATACAGTTCCTCATGTTGTGGTGACCCCCAACCATAAAATTATTTTCATTGATACTGCCAGCAAAAATAATTTTATGGTGGGCCAGGCATGCTGGTTCATGCTGGTAATCCTAGTCAGAATGACATGAGGAACTGTATTAAAGGGTCATGGCATTAGGAAGGTTGAGAACCACTGCTCTATTGTATTTTTGTCCTTGGGTCTATGTCTTCTTAAATTAGGCTTTGTAGTTAGGGTTTTCTTGCCTACAGTCAACAGAAAACCAACAAATATAAATGTTTTCTTTTTATTAATTTTTGTTAGTTGACTTCTGTTATCACTTTTCTGGGCTTGATATTCCTACTAAGCTCTTAATTAATATTTCATCACTTT